TGTACATTTTAGGCCAAATACTTTATTTAAAAAAGAAGATGCAGCCATCACTATCTGTAGTGCCGTAAACGTTTTCCTTAACAAACGGAAATTGCAATTGCATGCATAGAAATTGACGCATCTGTGAGCTTCATTAGTCTATGGTACCTGCTGATACACCGCTGCCGTAATGACATTGTGCCGGCGTCGGCTTTTTTCCCGGGATCGCATTTGAAGTTATTGTTATTATTTTCTCTCGTAGTCCATCCCGAGGTTGACGACCCGATTCTCAATTCGATTCGTCTCCCGATTTCTTTTATAGACTACATGGAAATATTTTATATATGTGTACCATTCTCGCGAAGACAATATGTATTAATAATCTATGATGATTATGAATCTGATTTAGAGTTAAGTGTTCCTTACGCTTATTTCAAACGGCGTTAAGATAAGGATTTTTTTTTGACTTTTGCCCACTTTAGTTTCGAAATAGACTATATTGCAACTAAAAAACTTTATAGATCGGGTAAGCAGATTAAATATTGTCAAGGTTGATTTTATTAATATAACAAACCTTTTGTATTAACTTATTAAATTAAACAATATTTACGGATTTATCGCGTTTATTTTTGTATTTTATTTCCGTAATAATCTAAAAGTAATCGCTTAAATACAAGAAATCATTACGTAACCTAATTTGATAGTGTTTATGGTCGGATATAACAGTTTTGTATATAATAGACAGTTATCCAATCGTTTGCTGTAGGAGCAACAAGGAGTTCCATCAAACCAAATAATAGCATAGTTCCGATTGTCCGGGGGCCCTCCGTGATTACCTCCCCAGTATTGCTTCGCACTTCGATGTTTTAAAGGTCATGTTACACTAGCGTGTTTCGAATCATGTTTAAAATAATTGGATTTATGAAATTTATGTTTGACTGTTTCGCTCTTTAATTGACTTGGGATGTGATGTTGCGCGTTTGATTTCTGTATAATACGCGATTTTCCCACTGTTTATACAAGATTAAAGCTCATGAAATGGATAGTGTAACATCGAATTAAATAACTTTTATCAGTAAAATGAACGAAAAATTATATTAGTCCTAGTTAAGACTGCTGGAATAGACATATAGACTGGATGATATTTAGGACGTAATAAACCGAGAATGCCTTCATCACTTGTAGCACTCATTACGGCACGCGCTTGTTTTAAGGCATCTTTAGCTTTGTTTTTTTATCTCAAATTGCCATACGAAACACAAAAAATTTTTACGCAATTGTTTTTATGTCACAATCTGCATGAATTTACATTATTATTCCAGGTATTCCAACTTTGTGAGGTCGATGACGATGCCATCTGAACGCGATCTTTTCACACCGATAATTGTGTAATAATTGACAAGGAAAAATATGCGTGTTAAACAAAAATCTTACCAAATTTATTAAACGTTGTGACAATTATGTCACAGGTCGATGGAATTTGTGATGAAAATATTTCTAAGGTTCTTCTTTTTATATAACACGTGAATCTTGTTGTTAATTGGTCTGACATCAACCCTCCTTGGGAATAAATAACTAGATCAGGAACAATGGTTTGTGGGGCACACAAATACTAGTCCCCTGTGGGAATCGAATCCATGTCCCCTAGAGCCTAAGCCTTAACAACTGCACCACCAACCTATCTAAACATAACATATTATTTTGCTTAAGTGTCTACCTTATTAAGTTATTATTATTATATTCTTTTTTGAACACCAAAAAAACATAAAAGGAAATGTTACAGAACTATAAACTTAAGAGGTATAAACAATAAGGCGGTCTTATTGCTAAGGAGCGATCTCTTCCAGACAACCTTGTAGTTACTGAAGTCAATCGTCACAAGTAAGGTCTGTTTAAATGTTATCCAAAAATGATAACTCAAATAATAATTGAATATTTCTGAACGGGTCTATTTTGAAATTGGATTTTTAACACCTGCTTACTCAATTTTGGTAATGTGACCAACCTAGCGATGACTTTATCCGTTTCAAATCGAATATAATAATGATAACTATATGTTTTGTATTCGGACAAGGGACGGAAAAATAGTCTTTAAGTTCAAATGATCGATGTCTCAGTTAGGCAAATTGCAGGGATATTGGCGTCCGTGTCAAGGGTGGTGTATCGATTACGTTTACAAGTTACGAATGGGACATTTGCTAGATCTGATTTGGATTGGTTCCATTATTGGAGTTTGTCCACTTAAACCTTTTTACAACGTGGGATTATGTTATGATAGATATAGTTAGTATTGTATTACAAGAATTTCCATTATCCTTAACAAAAGGAGAATTTTCTAGACTTAGTTATAAACGTTCAAGTGTTTTAATTCTCCCAAATTATTTCCAGATGTTCCATTTAGTTTTAATTTTATTAACTATCAGAAGTCATGTTTGAACGATGTTTTATAAGTCGTTTTGCAATAAATTGCATGGGCGGCGGCTATCACCTAACATCAACTGAACCACCAGATCGCTTGTCACCTTGTCACATAAAAAAAAAAAAATAACCGGCCAAGTGCGAGTCGAACTCGCGCATGAAGGGTTTTGTATTTTCTTTCTATAAAAATGGCAAAAATGTCATGTATGTTGGATGGGAGCCCCACTAAACTTTTTTTTATTCTGTTTTTTATGTTTGTTATTATAGCGGCAACAGAAATTCATCATCTGTGAAAATTTCAACTGTCTAACTATCACGGTTCATGATATACAGCATGGCGACAGACGGACAGACAAACGGACAGACACACGGACAGACAGACAAAAAGCGGAGTCTTGGTAATATAATTGGCGGTGGTAGGGCCACGAACGGTGGTAGGGCCACGCAGCAGCCTCGGCTGTTGCACGAATGGGCAGGCCCGTCCGGGTAAGTACCACGATCTCACAGAGGAGCGGCGTAAAGTGGCAGTACGACTTATACTTTCGCGTTTCGTCTGGTGAGTGAGGTAGCCGGAGCCCAATTTTCAAAAGGTTGTCAACGCATCTGTAACCCTCGGGTGTAGCAGATGTCCATGGGCGGCGGTATTCACTTACCATCAGGTGAACCGTCTGCTAGTTTGGCAACTTTTCATATAAAAAAAATATGGTAATTTTACCCATTGGGTACGGAACCCTAAAAATAACAGAAACAAAATAGCCCGTTGCAACCGAGAGACGCGTCAGCTCTGCGAGATTGCGTAGCGATAGTAATTCGAAGTGGTCGGTAAATAAGCTCTCAGTCGGTTACACGGTCGTGATTGCGAGTGAGGTAATAATGAGCTTGGATGTTAATATGTATAGCGTCTTCGTCCCAGGGACACTGCGTTTGGGACATTACCACGTAGAAACATTCGGCACTTTTGAATTGGATATGTAATGAAAATTGCGATTCTTAACATATCGTTGTTTTATACAGCGTGTCGTTACCATCGCGACAATAAATGAACACACGTCTAACGCTACTTGCCAATAATCAACAAAAATATTAACGTTAAACAAAATCCATAATTAAAAAAATAAATTTTTCAAACAAACTAATTAAGTAAAAAAGAAACAAAATTTGTAACATCCTATACAACTCGCGCCACATTGCGTATTATAAGCCTCTCCTTCTAACAGTATGTTTTGTCTCTTTTAAATTCATTCAACCCATTCATATGCTTTGTGACCTTTACAAATGAACTTTACGTTACGCTTTTATAGGTAAGGGTGTTCTAAAATTCTTTGTTTTGGAAAATTTATTAACTCTGTAAATATTGATGTTTAAAGAATTTAAATGTTTAATACAACTATAAAAAGTTATCCCCTATATGTGTGTTCATTTATTGTCGCGATGGTAAAGACACGCTGTATACGACCGATGAAATTCTATTGGATTATTAAAGCTGCCGTTTCTTATTCATTATCTCTACATAGTATAAAACAAAGTCGTCCCGCTGTCTGTCTGTCCCTATGCATGCTTAGAACTTTAAAACTACGCAACGGATCTTGATGCGGTTTTTTTTACTAGATAGAGTGATTCAAAAGGAAGGTTTATATGTATAATAAATTGTACCCGTGCGAAGCCGGGGCGGATCGCTAGTTTACTTTTAAACGAAAAGTACAAGTACCTACGTATGAAAAAGATTTTTTTGCTAAATGATACTTATGGCTCTGTGGATAACAAAGCTATTGGATTATTATTATCGAGTAGACGGTGGTGGTGTTTGAGCGACAAGTAATTCTTCTCATTCCAACAATGTTATTCTAATGTAACGACTTTTTTGTTACATTATATCAAAATAAAATATTTTGTCAATCAAATTAATAATAATAATTAAGTCTACATTGGTGGAACTATAGTCACCAAATTCAAGTTACCCTTGTTAGTGTCTAACTCGAAGTACTAACTAGGCCCTTAAACAAGCTCTGCTACCGTACCTAATTATTTACAACTGACTAACCGTGTCCGTACTCTATTGACATCTATGTTGCTATATCGTTGTTTATTTCTTTCACAAATAAAGATTCATATTTACAATTCTGTAACATGAACGTAACTCCAATTTTCGTCTGAAAATTTTGTTACCCCATATCTATTATTATTATGGATTACAACATAACAAATTTCAAATTTAACTATGAGGTAAAATTTACTAAAAATAATTTACGCTCAACGTTAGGAAACAACAAAACTATATGTTATAATTTACACACCATGGAAATACCATATTTAAAATTTTGCTGTTTTCATCAAGCGTTAAATGCGAAGGCGAATAACATACTGTACTCGTATATTATGAATTATTGATACAGAGTCGACTTTTCTTTTTGTTAACCGACTTCAAAAAAGGAGGAGGTTTTCAATTCGACTGTATTTTTTATTTTTATATACCATGTTGTTCACTAACATTTATAGTATATATTTTTATAGTATACATTATAGATAGTATAACGAACGTATTACTTGTGCATCGAGTCCATGAGACTTGAGGCTTTGTTTGATGAATTAAATTGTTCACGTACCTCCAATGGGTATGCTGGCGTTGGTTTTGTACTCCCGCTCTTCGTGCGATAGCGTTCTTAGACTCCTCGTGGTTGGTGTCTTGTACTCTTCGCGTAATGGGAGCGGCGGGCACGAGATGAACTGCCGCGGAAAGTCTATGGTCCTGTGGGTCGGCACGTTGGTACCTGGGTTGGGTGAAAAAGGATCGATCGTATCACTAAATATAAATATACTGCTTGTTTTAAAATGTTACATCGATGCGACGGCATTTTTAGATGTAAAAATAATAAATAGCAGTCCATGACATTCTGTTTTTTCTGTGAATGTTTTCTAGGATATTGATCCCACAAAAAATATTCTTGGTGAGATTATATCTGCTGTCGATGATAATGTTCTAATTATAAAGACGTAGTAGACGTAGGAGCTACATATAGTAAGGAACGATGAGAACACTATGTCGACATACGAAAGGAATGGTTATACATTTGAGTGAAAGGAATTATAAAAACTAATGTTGTGTGAAAAATACTAACATATCTGTGTATAAACATGAATACTAAACTGTTTTAGTGTTACCTATTGGTAAATTATCGCGAGCATTTTAAAAGTTATTGAGGCTCAATTATTTAAGTATTATAAAGTAGTTGGAATGATATTGCGAGTCAACGGTTTAATTTGAAAATTCCACTTCCTGCTCCAATAAATAGAATTGTGTCAATCACCTTATTAGGGGGATGGATTTTTTTTTTACAGAAAGGCCAAAATGGTTGGAGGTACGGCCCTTGCTCAAAAGGCACCGCCACAATTATTTTCGTCCCCGCACCAGTTGAAAAAGTGTGCACATAATTAGCCTATGAGTTTATACAATGCAACGAAATGTATCGATACCGCAATTATGTTGGGAAATCGACGCAAACAAATGCAGCCGGTTAATTATCGACGTGTAGCAAAGTAGGGATGTGTATGCGTGTCGACAAATACTTGTGTATGCCTATCGATATAGGTCTATGAAGGTTTCTTGCATTACTGCTTATATTTGTATTTTCTAACCGTTTTGATGGCGTTAAATTTGGTTTTTCACTCCCAATTTGGAATTCTATGTAGCTTTATTGTAAGTCCTTACTGTTTCGTATTTGTTTCAACATTTGAATTTCCCCGTATTGGATTCACGCACGACACTTAATTATTTACACGATTATGTTTAACTATTTATACGTACGTCGATATTTTTCATTATCGAACAGCGCAACCCAATTAGCGAGGGTCACTGCGAAGCGGCTTACACTGGGCACCTACAAATTAAGTCTATTAAGTCAAACTTTTAAGTCCCTTGTGCACGCGAGATCTTTCCTTCTTGTCCACCGGGAGAGTTCGGAGCTTACGGGCTAAGTACTCGCCTTTTGTCTGGCCCCATCCGCGTTTTGTTTTGTACCCTAAGCGGGATTTTCGATGTGATGCTATTACCGCCCTTTGAACATTATCTTGATTTGTTTACGTCGCGTCTGGTATTAATCATAAACAGATTTGAATGCTGTAGGTCCCTTTAATATCAAGTGGTAATGAAGTGATTATATAAACCAATTTGTTCACGATGCAATACGATTTGTATAGTGCTGGATATGTCTAGATTTCATCGTTATTCTTCGGGAATGCTGTTTTTTTGAAGACGTACATCATACGGTTTTAATGATTAACTGAATATTGTTCTCCTTAGCTCATGATGTTCGGAGCTAAAATCTTAGGTGGTAATTTAAAACACACAAGCTCTATAAGTATTATTTGGATAACACAGTCACAGTCGAGGTTTATCTTACTATATGTTATCTCAATCAAGTCGTCTATTTAAAATTTGTGAACAAATAAAACAACACACTATCAATTTACATTGAATGTTTTTAATACACGCTCCTATTTAATGACTGTCGTTGTTTTATTTTTAAGGCAGATTGTATACGCAACGGCGCGGGTAGCAGCGGTGATGGTGTAAAAAACATCCAAACTTGCGCCGCGGGTTGTACCGCGTATCCTTCGAGGACCGGGCCTCACAAAGGTCCCGGGAGCAGTTGCGCGGTGCGTGTCCCGGACTTATTATTGATAATTTCGCTATTGTCCGCCACCGGCACTGCCGCTCCATATGGTGTAACGTAAATTTCTCTCCTCCCTTCGGCCAATTTCGATAGCTCGAGCTCCTTTGGAACGGGGCCTTAGTTTCGCGTGACTGGTCGGATGTCGGAAGGAATGAATTACGATATTCACCCGCCGCGCCACCTCGCTTGTTACCGACGTTACGAACTCTTTGACACTTTTTTGTTAATTAAACATCGTCGGATCGCAGTAGTAATTTTACATGATGTATAATGCACTAGCTGTTAACCGCGGCTTCACCCGCGCGGCCAAAATGAATTATCAATGAGTTTTTTATTATACACCAAAATATCTGGTAGATGGCTGAATTTTTTCCTACTTAGTTGACACTTATCATTACCTATATTTGGAATTCACACAATATCTTTATAAATATAGCCTACGTGTTATTCTAATGTATAAGCTATATTAATGTAAAGTTTCATTACCATCTATACCGAGCAACCGATTGGCGCAGTGGGTACTGACCCTGCCTCTTGCGCCAGAAGGTGTTGTTCGAACCCCACTACTGGTAAAATTTCGGTGACGAACATTGTATTTTTCCAGTGTCTGGGTGCTTATATATTTATAATATGTATTTATTTACTAAGGAAAAAAAAAAGGTTAAAGTATGTTTATCAGGTATCTAGTAGCCATAGTCAAGTGTTTCTTAGTTTGGGACAATAAAACGTTGTGTAAAAATGTGTCCTGAAATATTTATGTATTTATTTAACCTGAGTTCAAATTCCGGTGCCGGTACCTATTAAATTGTTAATTTTAAGTGATAAATTATCAAGTGCTCCGCTGTGAACGAGAACATTGTGAGGAAACCTGCAAATTTCGAAATAATAACAAAAAAATGTATTTCGAAGGTATTTGGTCTGCCAACCTGCAGTGTGGTTGCGTGGTGGATTATGCCCAAATACTCTTTGTATAGAGATTTTGGCTCAGCTGTGGGATGTATACAGGCTTTTACTTTACTTTTTTAGCTAAGGACTGCAGGCTAGAGGAATTGGGAAACACACTGACCATGTATACAATATAGAATGGTTGTCAAGAATGGGTCAGTTTCTCACAACTATTGGTTTATTACTTACATGGGTCCTTTTATGTTATATTTATATTGACTAGCGGACTTGACAGACTTTGTCCCGTACACACGTCTTAATTCCTAAATTTCCAAACTTTTTGAATAAGCTTGTGAATCTAAACTATTTTCAAATCCACCTGAAGTCCCACAAAAAATTTCATTAAAATCGGTCTAGCCGTTTAGTAGAAGTTTAGTAACATACACACGTAAAGAACAATTATATATATATATATATATATATATATATATATATATATATATATATATATATAATATATAATATATAAATATATATATATATATAAAGAAGATAAGTAAAAACCCCCTTAGATATCTACGAAATATTTTACTCTTGACAAACTTATACCACTGTTTCAGAAATACCAGTCAAGAGTAACAAAATTTAAATGTACCGACTTATTACATGATAGAGCCGTGATAGCTCAGTGTCCGGGCGCTCGCCTTTAATTCTCCCTTAACTCGAGCAACCTGAGTTCGATCCCCGGTGCCGGCAACAATGAAGTTTTTAACTTTAAGTGCTGACTTATCACGTGCTCCGCGGTGAAGGAAAACATCGTGAGGAAACCTGCATATTTTCGAAATAATAACAAAAAAAAAAAAATATTTCGAAGATATGTGAAGTCCGCCAATCCGCAGTGGGGCCGCGTGGTGGACTATGCCCTGATACCCTCTGTATAGAGGAGGCCTTTGCCCAACAGTGGGACATGTATAGGCTGTTACTTTACTTTTTTTTTACTTATTACATTATTATCCATGAAACATGTTTTGGGAAATATAAACATATATGCTGTTGACAGTGTTACAAGTGATATATTTAATTCATATCGCAGATGGAATTCCCTGTAGATAACATAACATGTCAAAAACCTTTATTGTGTCATTGAATTCATCCCTTGTTTGTACATATGCTCGTAATATTCATTAAATGTGTTTAGTTAGTAAATAATGAACTATAAAATCACTGTAGTCTTGTAAGATCGATGACTAATAATATAATATAATTATAGTATTCAATGACCTTCAAACGGCGACGCTATCAAGCGCACTCTCGTGGGAAGAAAACCACTATCTACTAGCAATGATAAGAGCTTGCGGCGCACCGCCGTATCCTTTATAGAAGTATTGATATGATAGACACACTGTTATCGATATAAATAAATTGTGTTTGTTATTTCCTTTTAGAAAATTGTTTGATACACGCCTATTTGCGATTTAGAAGAAGCCCGTGTTAATTTTTTTTGTTGGTTTTGTAAGAACTTAAAGTAAAAATGTAAGTTTGTGATGATAACCGTTTTTGATGAGAAAGCTGCAAATATTGCGGTTGTTGTATATGTAATGTTAATACTAAGATTATAAATAGGTAAAACAAAACTTGTTTATTTTTTTGTCAATAATATTAAGATAAATTTTTACACTAATGTCTTACATTGTTTTATAGGTAGTTCTTTTAATTAGAATCCAGTGTTTTCTTTATTTGAAATATGAATATTTTTTTTACATATTATGTTAAGTCTGAAAAGCTATATTATTAAAGACATTATTTGACAGTTGCTATGCAATTTATTATGTTAAGATGTGAGCTTGTTAATTTTTATTATACACATTTAGTAAATTCAATGTACACGCAACACTATTGCTAGGTGGGTGTCCGTGTTACCTAAATGTTGACTAGTTTTCCTTGTTCTTCGCACTAGGCTCATTTAAATACCTACCTCTTTTTATAAAACCAAAAACAAAAATTGTCAATCTTTACTAGTAAGTAGATATTTATACAGCTTATTCCTAGATACATCGAAAATATTGTAGTACGTACATATGCATAAGCTGAAATGAGAGTTCAGCATGCATCATTGCTACCTTTGACGACAGGGCAATTCAAATGAGCACAAAAACTGTTGTTAGGTCTAGGATTTGTTCATTTTACATCTAGTTCCTTAAACGTCAAAAGACTTAAAAATTGAAAACTTAACAGGAGTTAACCTGTCGGTGAAGCTTGGCTTCCCCTACCACTGGTACCACATGGTATCAGTGGTAGTTTATTCACCTCGCTTGTTTTCATATGAACCGCAAAGACCTATTAAACCGACTGTAATAAAATCTTCAACTGCATTTATAAATGATAATTAAATCATATAAGACCATCAAGGTGCAATCGTATGACGTATGGATAAGTATTTAGGTGGAGGTTGTAAATCAAACTATATTCGTGTTCCAAACTTCAAGCAGATGATGATTATGGTATTTTTAATGCATATATTTTGCTTATATAGTATGCCAATCAATAGGTTTACCTCATAATAATGATTATCGATACAAAGAGATCGCATTTTGTATGTGCGAAGCCACGGAGTGAAATATAGAATATTTTAATTGTTTACGTCTCTTCTGCGGTTTTTGCAACAGTGCATCGGATAATAACAAATTGGGTGCCGGCTCGTGACACGTCCAATCAAATTAGTTTTTCATTTAACGTTGATAATTATTATCATGCATTAGTAATAGTGGCGTAAATGAACAAAATAAATATATTTTAAATCAGCGTTTGTTTGCTCTGCCGTGTGGTTACGATATGCGGCATGGGTCATGTGTTATTATTTTAAAGAAATGTATATTCTATTCGTTTATTGTGTTTGATAGTGCGAGGAATAGTAAATGATTGTGAAAACAACTATGTAAAGAATCCTAGTCACAAGTTAGCTTACAAGCAATTAGGTTGTCTTGTCAATGTCTTCTTTATAATGTATTAAAAGCATAGTCACCCGTAAGAAGAATAGTTAATAGTATCTTTATATCCACTTTATTTTCTTCCATTTTTTATTTTAAATCAGTGGCATAGAATGCAGTGGCAATTTTTTCTATCGATCGGCCATCCTGTTTTACGACCACTTGTGGATATTATGTTTTAAATGTGTATTAAAAGGATGATATATTAGTGGTATATGTGTTTATCATAATTTAATTAGCAAGCCTACCGTGCTTAGTCATTATCGGTACCATAACTTTATGTTTACATGTATTCCACTTTTATTATTAAAATGTTAATTTCACCCTCCGTAATCGATTTCTGCATAGAATATGATCAAATTGTGGGATATAATTATTATCAGCTGGACGATGGAGACTTACTGGTTTTGGAACGAGGTTCCCGGGGACCGTCGACTGTTACTTTGATCGCCTTTTGGTACGTAGCCACTTGAGGTGGCGAAGTCGATATTGTTATCGTCAACGAGAAACTCTTCCCTGCAACAAACATTAGGTTCGCATTAGTATTGAAGTTCTAATTTGACTGTCTTAAGCGCTCTTTCAAAAACTAGGCTAGACAAACAGTACATTTTTGTTCGGTATGAAAGCAATTAGGTAGATTATTAGAACATGTTACAAAATATCTGTTGAAAAAGTGTTTTATATTAATATCATAAAAGGTTTTTTGTTCATATATTTCCTTATTAAATTTGATCCAGTGCAAATTTAGTATATTGAATACAGGAATTACATTAAAAAATGTATATTAAGCATATTATTAGATAGTTTTGTGTTATACCATTTATTTATGGCTCGGAAAAAGTACGTCAAATTAATTATTATTCACAGATTAAATCGTTGAACTTCACACAGAGCTGTAGCTAAAAATACATTTTTTAACTAATAACCTACTTTATATTGTGCTCATTATAAGAGTTAGCGTCACACGCTAAATTGCAACACTAAATGATGTGCGCTTTCAAATATTTAGACGTGTCTTTGTTAGACCTCACTAACAAAGACATTTCTTTTACACACTGTCACAATTAAAAACTTTGCAACTACAACTTATTATAAATTTATTGTTTAAACTGGTGTTTCTGATACACTGTTTATTTAGTGTATGCGAAAGAAAGTTCGATTATGATTTAAAGAAATTTATTTTTCTATATATTCATGACGCCACATAGAACGGCGTTTTCCCGCGCAAAGCGCTACGCACGGACTGGCTCGGCGCGGACGTTGGAAAATAGAGTGCTTTTTGGGCGTCCGATTTGCGGTCAGCAGTAATGAATGCACCGATAAATACGGAATAAAATTACAGTTAAAATGAGTGGATTAACATGTCTAATGCAGATAATTCGCGTGTAGCGCGCTCTCGATTTAGCGCAAATGATTGATTTCGGAGCACCGTCTAGTCTAGTCGATTGCGTTAACATATTCCTTTTCTATTGCATTCCGATCGTTTCGATTGTTCCGCTTGTTGGTGCGCATTCAATAATAAAATCTGTAATATCCTTTTGACGTTTAGTGTTTTTTCCATCTTATGTACTTACGTTTATACTTTTTAAATATATGAATAAAAGACAAGACCATTTAGTTTTGTCTTTTAAAAAAAGAATTCTAAATGTATTCATAAGTTTCTGGAAAAAATAATTCGTCTAAAAGACCTTTGCTGAATGAAATAAGAATTTGATATAGGATAAGTTTATCTATGTTCTCAATAATTTTTGTCTGTTCAGAGCAAATGCTAGTTTTTAGTTGCAAATGACTAATAAAATAAGTCTACTGTACAATGCCGTCGCGGGTACACAGAAAAGTTGATGTATGTACATATATGCCGAAATGACACATAAACCTCATGCTCCATTGACATTGTTTGCCTTAATTATGGGTTGTCATTTTTAACAAATAGATATGGACAGAACGAAATTTCAGTAGCGGTTCCCACCGATACCGATAGCCTATCGTGCGGCCGGTATTTCCTGAACAAGTCAAGACTGGTACGTAAATATATCACTGGTACGGCCGTGATAATTGTTTCCCTGCTGCTTTTATTATATATTTATTTCATGTGCAATTATTTCTAAGTTAATTGGGAACACTCCCACGCGCTAATTAATATCCTCAAAATAAAATTCAACCGTAAAAGTTGATTGCTTTTTTGTTTAATTTCGCCTATACTAAAGCTAAAAAGCGGAATCAATATCCAGTATTAGAATGACGCGATGAATTGTTTACATTTTGTTAAAGCTTTTTTTTTGAAATACTATTTCATTTAAATTACCTACATTGACCAGGCAATTAGCGGTAGATGCTGCGATTTTTAGAGATAATAAACAAACGAATATTCACTAAGAAACTTAATAACGTAAGTCTGTATGGAAGGTGGTCCACCTTATGTTAATTTTAGACCGCCGCCTTTGAAAACACCCCACACAAGAGGTGATTTAGACGTGTTATCAACCACTGAGCGGGTAGGGCTTCAGTTACCACAGTCACCGGACGAAACGCAAAATATAATGCTCTTAATTCTCGCCACTAGATGGAAAGACGACCGATTGGCATTTGCAGAGACCGTCATTCCAGCTAGTGTGAAAAGTCAATTGATGCAAGTGGCTCCGGTTCGTGTTTTATGTGAGGAAGATCTATGTTCGGCAGTGGATTCGAAAAAGGTAAAAAGGTGATGATGATTATGAATTAATACCAGTCTACTGTAAGTCAATGGCACTTCACCTTCAAAGCTAGGCAATTTGTGCAGCATAACCTATTCTGTCAATTATGTTTGATATATTATAGATTTTTTTTCTTAAAAACATTGCCCTTACTTTGGGATAACATTGTCCTGTGTTGTAACGATGTTTTAAAAACATAAATTTCAAGTGGACAAACACCCAGATGCGAAACAACTATTTGTGGGTCATACAAATAGCTGTCCCGAGTGGGAATCGAACCCACGACCCCCAACGACTGCGACACGGGGTCATCATTTAATTACGATGCTTCAGTATTTTAAAGGATATACATGTCTATGATACATTTTTATATAAATCAAACAAAGGCACTAAAAATCTGTAATTTAGTGAAGCATTTATTAGTTAATCTCGACACAAATCTCGCAACAATATGCAATCCGTAACAAACTATACATGTTTCCACTCATTACAAAGCAACGCGAGCGTCGCGGGAACATTTCAATACGGAAACAAATCATCATAAACCGTTTGCCGCTAAACACCAAAGGCGTGCCAGAACGATGTGAAATATTGCGTTTAAAGTCGCTGCGAAACTTAATGCACGCCGCATGATCAGTCATCAACAGTTTAGGGCCTAACACAATACGAGCGCAGCGATAAAAATAACATTGTATCCGAACGGCCGTCTTCGGGAGGTGTTGAGAGAGGCGCGTGAAATATTCAATTATAAAACGCGGGCGCAGGTGGCCGCGGGGGGAGGTGGACGGGGTAGCGGCGGCCATCTTGATTTACGATCGAGCGTAAATATCCCGAGTGACGTTTGCGACTTGAGCCGATACGTGCGCAGACGCTCCTTAGGTATTCAGCTATGAGACGATTTTCACGAAAATCGTTTGCGGTCTAGCATGCGTGTTGCAGATGAGGAGACTGTAGTATCAATGACATTGTCACTTCTCCTTGTCCAAATCCAAATGCTTTTCCCGACCCATAACATGTTTGTAATATTAAATACACCTAAACGTATTGTAACACTGTCTATAATTGGTTACATCGTGAAAGTTTTCTGTAAAATATTCGTTTCCAAATAAATGTATTAAAATTATACTATAGAGGAGAAACATGTTCTTTAAAATGTCTTACAAAAATCACTATATATAATAAAGATTATGTGTAATACAACAAAATACTTAATTTTAAGAAATTTTATAGAAACCAAATCTCTTTTACTGGAAAGCCGATGACAAATTTTAATCAAATTCAAAGTTTTTTTTTTAAATTAATTTAGTTGACATATAAAGTTGGCAAAAATAGATAGATCTTAAGAGATCTTAAAAGCAAAAAATAGGCCATCGCTCTGGAACTTAATATTGTCTAGAGTAAACATTGTTTGGCAAGATAATTGATAGACTATGTCTTATCATAAAGAAAGATATATCACTCATCTAAATTTCAAAACTGAAGTATAGAACAGTTAAGTTGACAATCAAGGGGGAACACCATTCAAACACATGCTAATGAATGATAAACGCTAAACATTTATTATTGTTATTTTGCTTTTAACACAATTTGATACACACGAACTAGATACGTACCGGCGTGTATTCAATGAGACGGTGGGTTTTCCTCAAATATGACAAACTATAAACATGTCATTACGTGAAACCATTTCATTTTAGACAATGATTTCTTATATAACGGCTTTTGTAAGTTAAATATCTGGCTATCCCTCAAACACCAGGAGTTGAATCCACAATAAAATCGGCAAATAAATGATATTTTATAGATTTAAAAATACAGAATAAGAGAATGTTTAATTTATTTGATGTCAGAATAATACATATAATACTAAAGTATACATAAAAAATAAAGTATATACCAAGGTAAATAACTTTAAACTAAAGTCATATAAAATTGCATTATTTTATAAACGTGAAATGTAAAAACAGATATGAAATTAAAGTCATAGCTGATATATAATACCAACCAAAATAGGAATTCATAAAGAAAGGAAGGCTCGGTTGTAAGAATATTTCAAAACGAATTTGAGTACTAAAACACTCAAGAAGAGATTTGCGTCCGATCGTGTTACGAAAGATTATGAATGTCCAAAAGAAATATTTTTGTGATACTTTGTTGTGTTACGTGTTTAAATTTTATTAAAATATATACTTACTTTTACTTTCAAGCTTACTTATAATTTCCCTCAAATTAATTTTACATTAGACGAATATTACAAATTTTAATAAATTACCACCGGTGAGAGATCCGGCTTATCCTTACTAATATTATAAAGGCGAAAGTTTGTATGTGGGTAATTCTACGATAAGAGGTTTCAAGTCCATAGAGAATAGGGCCACGGAGAAAACTTGCTGTTTTTTCATTAAACACTTATATTACGTTTTTTGTCCTCTTTATTTATCTTTTCACGTACGGACAAGTCACTTTAGCCATATTTAATTACTTTTTACAAGGCCAGGGTAAATACATTGGCGAGGGTAGAGACACCAAGATCCGGGTGTATACTTATTTGGCCAGGGAAGAGAATTTGTCGCAATAAAAATAACAAAATTAGTAAAATCGGCTTTAATTAAACATTGTCTTTAAATAGAATCAGACTATTATTTTTACCAATCATAATATTAAACTTTAACAGACTGTATTATTTCAGCCTTCTGTGAAATTGAAAAAAAGAAGTAACTTTAGTGTCATTACACAATAATATATGAAATTAAGATGGCATTGTACATACAGCAAATAATAAAATATTCTTTTATTAATAAGACAATAAATGAACACACATAT